CCAGCAGTGAACATAACCTCTACGTTAGGTTACTCGAACACATTGCCTGAAGCTGCTTCACACATGCTAAGTTACATGCATACTCATTGTCTCATCCTGATTTGCGTGAACAGCTAGCATTCACTGATTCGCCGCTGTCGATTACACCGGAGACGTTGTGTGGCGGGTTCACAAGTTCACTTGTTTGCAGGACGAGAGCCGCGATGGTGATGCGGTCTCCGTTAACAACCTCGACCGCGCATTCAACAACGTCGCCTGTGCCGTAAACTACCTTGCCCTCGACGAAACGCTGCAACGTTTCACAAGCTTTATGTAAATACTTAGCGTTGTTTGGGATCCACATCTAAAGGAAGATATCGGGAAACTTGAGATGGTGCAGCGTAAAACGGTTCGCTTTATCTTTAATGCTTACCACAGAAATGGCTAACCAACAACGATCATGACCATCAATAATCTTCCTTCTCAACAACACCGAAGGGCAGTTGCCCGGTTGTAATTTCTACTTTTCTCTTTGTTTTCGTAAATTTAACATTCGTCCAGAAACTCACGTAAGAAATCGATTTTCAAAACTAACTAAGCATACACATCCTTGCACTCTTGAACCTTACTTCGCACGTACAAATCTTCTCGTGAAAGCTTTCTTTCCTCGGACTATCAATGAGTGGAACGAGTTACCTTTTGAAGCGTCGTTCTTTGATAATCGTTTTCTGGATGTTGATAACATTGTATCATTCCCTTCTTAACAATACAGCACAAGCTCTCGACTGTCTCACTGTTCGCTTGATTTACATTCTGTATTTGCGATTCAGATGATGTTGCGGTCATCTTAATTCATTTATTTTTTGTGTTCTATGTTCAACTATTTTACCAAGTTTTTATTGCTTGAAATTTTGTCGTATTAAAGGTAAACTGTGAAATAGTTTTTGTATTATGCCCCCCTCCCCCCCCACTTGATCTTTTGATCGCAGTATACTGTAAAAAAATAAATAAAACTACCTGTAGATGCTGGTGAAAGGCACAATGGCTGAAACGTAAAAAAACAACAAAAGAAATAGTACCGTAAGGCGGAAAGTGTGATAACGAGCGAGCAGGGAAGCGCGCGCGCGCACACACACACACACACACACAAACACACACACACACACACACACACACACACACACACACACACACACACACACACACACAACACACACACACACACACACACACACACACACACGGGGCGATTTTCCTGGCCTTGTCAATTGGACCGCAAATGAAGCAAGATTACAACCTCACTCGAAAACAGTCGCTGAAGGCGTTCGTTAACCCTCTCAAGGCTGTTAGTTCGACGAAGTTTCCGCTTGAAGCAGACTATCTGCGTACAGGAGCTGCGGCGGCTGCAAAGCGGTCGAAAGCGGAATCCTCAAACTGACGTCACACGCAAGAGAGCGCCGCTCCGAAATATCGAGGCCAAGCTCATAGCGCCGGCGCTGTGGGAGACGCCGAGCTTACTTTTCCTTCGGCTTAGGCCGAATATTATTATGACGTATTTATTTAAGGGCCCTCAGCCAAAATATGACATGAAAGACACTGCACCGAGCGCTCAGAATTACAAGGCAACAGGACAACCAGAACTCAGCTCACAACAACAGCGTTGTCGTCTTCGTACATTCTGTGCCATTTGAGCGGCTACTTCGGAGTGGCATTTCTACACCCATGACATTACCGAAGCCTGTAAAGCACTGTCTCGGTGCCTGCTATGTTATAGGGTGTGTCACCGTTGTCGGCCTTCAGTCTAGAGACATGTACGATGTCAGTCCTGGGTGTACCAGTAGATGACCCAGTTGTCAGAGAAATCTCATAGGTGACAGGTGTCACCCGGTGCATGGCTCGGTGCACCCTCAATGACGTCCCGCTTGAAGTGCTAGATACAGACGAGGTTTCGAAACTGGACATTTTTCATCATCATCATCAGCAGCATCAGCAGCAGCAGCCTGACTACGTCCACAGCAGGACAAAAGCATCTCTCTTGTTCCGCCAGTTAACTTGGTCTTGTGCTTGCTGCTGCCAATTTATACCCGCTGTTGCGAAGCGCGCCTCCGACGTCGTTACGAAGGGCGCCACGAATCTCGGCGCTGACTCCACTGTTACGAAAGACGGCGACGCCAACACGGTCCCGAAGGCGCCACTGCTCCGATCTCCGCCGACACGGTCACCAGCCGTTTGGTAGCGTAGGTTTCTCAGCTCGCGACTGTTTCTGCACAGAGCTGATAGACGAGCGGACGAGACGATGGTGAGTTAAACAAGGTTTATGTACAGCATATATACAGAGGCGTTACAAATTCGGCACTGGGGCCAACAGCTTAGAAACCCGAAGAGCCGAGCTCTCCTCTCTAACACATAGGTCTACTGCTCGCGACGCGCCACAGGGCTTTTTTTATATGCACCGGGAGGATTATTTGAGTAACCAAATGTCCAACCAGAAGCGCCGCTGGTCGTGAGGTCAGAATCCTCCAATGGGGTCGCCGCTGGGCCACGTCATTCTTATTGAATGTGGAGCCACTGCGCTGCACGTGGCTGCACCCAAGGAAGAGTGACGTCGCCACACATTGCGTCAGACTCGCCAGACAGGAAGGTGCCGATTGCTTCGACGGGCTCGCTGGCTGAGGTGACTCACTGTGCGTGCGCGGCAGAAAGGCACCGCCGCGTGATGACGCCGTTGAGTTGTTCACATCAGGCGGGCTCGCGTGCTGGCCTTGACACAGATTGCATTTTTCAGAGGCATGGACGTTCGCTGTGGACTCGCAGGCATAACGCCGCAAACTTCTTAATCTCATCTGCCCACCTAACCTTCTGTCTCCCCCTGACGTTCTTGCCATCTTTGGGAATCCAGTTAGTTACCCTTAATGACCTGCGGTTATCCTGTCTACGCGCTACATGCCCGGTCCATGTCTATTTCCTCTTCTTGATTTCAACTATGATATCCTTAACACCCGTTTGTTCCCTAATTCACTCTGCTCTCTTTTTGTCTCTTAAGGCATTTTTCATATAGTTTCCTGAATTTAGCCAGCATCTAACCGTGACCTGATTAAGAGCGTAGGGGCCGACGTATCGTGAGGAGAGCTTCTTATTTTGCTGAGGCAAACACGAAGAGGTGATGGCCACATTAGAACGAGAGAGCCTAGAAAGAATTCAGCATCCCTGGGTTGACTGTCATACAGGGATCATTGGGCAGTGTGGGAAAGTGAGAGCCGAGTTCGGGCTACCATGAGTGCGATGAGAGCGGGTAATGGTATCTTCAGCGTATGAAGGGGTGGATCTTGGCTCAAACGGAAGCCGAGAGTCAAAAGGCAACAAAGTATTGCAGCCAAAGAGAACATGAAAGTGTGAATAGTTGACAGTTTCGGGGAGTGATGAGTTACAGTTGAAGGTGGTGAACGGAACGTATCACAATCAAAGTGGTGGTCGGAAACGAACATGGAAAGCGCGTCTATCAGGGTGCGGTTGAGGTGTTCGGTGAGCGCATTTGTCAGATGATAATAAGAAGTGCTAAAGTCGGGACAAGTAGCGTGCATTGGTGACAAAAAAGTGCTTTTTTCAAGACATCAAGATATATTTCAGCTACAAAAGGGTTTGTTTTGAGCTGACGCCAACTGTCCCGCAGCGTTAGTAGAATATAGGGTTATTAACCATCCCGAATTTTTTCGGGACTGGCCCGACTTTTCATACAGCTTTCTGAGTCCAACGCCATGCCTGTCGAGACAAGAGATTGGCTCTGAATCATTCAATTGGAAATTCATATGTAGTCCAACGCACGCTAAAGAATGCGCGTCATGCTACGGATCACAAAGTTCACACAAGTCTCACACCCGGAGCAGTGTTGGGATCGCTAGCAGTGACAGCGAAGGGCTTTAGCAGAACTTTCACGTCAAGTGCGACAACTTTTACGCGTACATTCACCAGCAAGAGGATGTGTTGCGAGCAGGCAGTAGTGAGCTTAAGTACCGCTTCACAAGGCCGCAATATTAAGAAAGCAGCATATTTATGTGGAAGATATAGCGAATAAGAAAACTGATTTCATTGTTTCCCCAAGTTCACGACTCCCCCCCTTGAAGTCCTGACTTCATTGAAATGTTGGTAACTCTATAGTGTCCACACAAGAGGTTGCAAGCGTGTAGTAAACCGGCGACACGCATTCAATGATAGTCTGTCATGCGACAAGGAACTCCTACCTTCTGGGAAAATCAAGAGTCCGACATCAGATCTGAAGCAACGCTGGAGGGTATGGTTATTAAGGCACGAAATAAACAGACACTAACACATACATAGATGGGACAGCACTAGAGGACCTGGGGAAAGTTGTGAGCCTGTAAAGTGTAGCGGTTTTTCCGGTATTGCTCTGCGTGGTCAATAGGTGTCATCATAATACAGCTCACGTGCCGAGTTGTAAGCGGCATTCGGAACCACTTAGGTGGTAAGAAAGTGTGGCGTCAAATATGGACAAATACGGAGGAGATCTTGCGTCAGCGTAACACGACGGAGATGAAATACTGAGTAGTTATCGGTTCATTTGAGGATTAAATCAACCGTTATGCCTTCGCTGAGTAGTGCAGCCATCAACTTCTCGGAAAAACAGTCAACCTACGACTGATCGGCGGCCATGCAATCGAATGAAAATGGCCGACGAGGTTTCGATCGCGAGGTGTCAGCACCAATCCCTCGAAAAACTCCGCGAGTTCTTCCTCGCCTCGTGGTGTTCTGAAATGGATCCGCTTCCACACTCTTGTCGTTCGGAGGGTTCCCCGTGCAGCCGCTTATGTCCCCGCGGTTCGATCGATACCCAGAGTCCAACGCCCGCAGCGCTTCCTAGCGTCGTCGCGATAGCGTTTTGCGCACCTCTCACGAGGCAGCGCTGCCTTCGCGTTGTGGAGTCGGGGACTGCGCGTGTACGTCGTGCCCTCTGGGCGTGAACACCCAGCGTACGTCCACCAGCTCCCACACTCGATACACACGACGGAGTGCTTTGGATCGGGCAGCGTGCCGGGCACCGACCGAGAGCCGGAGTCAAAACACTGAGCACACCGTCTCCCGATGGAAGGGTCCAGAAGCGACGGTGGCCAAGCGAGGGAGCATCTCAGCGACCGTAGGACTGTCGGTGCGGACGACCACTGACCCTAAACTTACACCTGTGACGGAGTGGAGTAACGTTCGGAGGCTTGTGCAGTTTTCGTTTTCGGTTGTGTGACTTCGGGGTCTGCTCTGCCCCGGAAAAAAAAAAGAACCCATGCCGGCTCCGTATCGACCCAACATGGCCGCGCTTCTCGTGTTTGGGCTGTGGGTTGCTGCTGCGGGATTTCCCTGTGTGATGTGCTCTGCAGAGAGTGTGGGCTTCGAGGCAGCTTTTCAAGGTGAGAACGAATTTGAGAACACACGGCTCTTTTTTTGCAGGACAAGTAACGATTGCGCAACGGACGCGACCGGCAGCAGAGAGACGTGGCTCGGCGTGTTCTCTCTCTCTCTTTCTCGATCGACTCTAGCGAAACCGAGCCAACTGTAGTACTATACAATAGCTGACGCGAAAAAGTGAAACCGAAAAAGAAAGAAAGCCCCAGGTCAATAAAACCCGCCGCGTCCGCGACGCCAGCAATCGTAAACCTTTTTACTCTTGCTGGATCGGTGGCTGCGCGAACAACACGAAATATAGACTACGGCCTCGTCCACGTCGTCGCACTCCCGCATAAACGTCCACCCTGTGAGCCTCGGTTAGCGGTGGTTACGTAGTTTTAACCACGCGTAAACGTGGTTTCGCTCGCGTATCGAAACGCACGTCAGACTCGCATCGGTATAGGCGCATAGAGTGGAAACTCGGACTTTCGCTTGAAAGAATACATTGTCGGTACACATGTCAATGGTTTGGAATTGCGTTTTTTTTCGGAAAGCGGGTGGGGACTTGCGTTGAATCAGTACAATTTTTTGGAATGTAATGCGCTTATCTAAGTGGTTAGTTTGTGATACATCCACAGTGGCGAGAAACAGTAAGACAGAGCTTTGAGACTACCATTCTAAAACTGCCTATTCGAGTCATAATAGAAGGTGTCGATAGTTGAAAAAAGCAACATAGAAGCTGCAGTGCATCTTAGGTGGACACGCCGTAACAGATCAAGGAGTTACAGGTTGATAGTTTGGTTTCACTAGTTCTGTCCAGAAGCTTGCTCGCGTTTTTTCTGGATCGTGCTGAATACTTGATAAGGTTTTGCAATCGTGGCCCGCATAGTGTCAAAGGTTCTCCGTTTCTCGTAGCAAAATTAGTAGTAGTAGTAGTAGCAGTAGTAGCAGTAGTAGTAGTAGTAGGAGTAGGAGTAGCAGCACTTGTTTTTGTTGTTCGATTGAGGATGTACTTACCAAAGGAAGCCCCGCCACGGTGGTTTAGTGGCTAAGGTACTTATTGGCTGCTGACCCGCAGGGTAAATTACGCGCAGCAGTGGTATATCTTCAAACTCAGAACCATTGCCTGTAATTCATTCAGTTAGACTTTTCTTTTCCGTTTTTATATTTTGTGTGGAAAACGAAGTAAAACAAGTCTTAAGAAGCCTTCTCAAAGAAGAGTAGGACGTATGTCTAGCGTCGTTATTAAGATAAATTGCTGGAGATTTGTGGATCATCTGTGCAAAGCTTATTTCATTTACTGTACTAATGGTTCCGTTTTCGAACATTCAATTCCAAAAAGCACCGAAAACAGCTTCTATATGCTGTTTTATAATCTAAAGCTCTTTGCGTGTCTTACTTTAACCACGTTGGCATTATTAAAGAAGGACTGACAAGAAAATTTTCAATGTTCGTTATTTTTTTGGCGTCAAATAATAGGCTAGGCTCCCGAGAGTGTGGAAAATGTATCTGTAAGCGTGAGTGCGCCGTAAAAAAAGTTAAATACAGCAAGCTTTTAAACCCTTTTTTGTTCTCACTGTACCCTGACGTCAAATGGACGGACGGACGGACGGACGGACGGATGGACGGATGGACGGATGGATGGATGGATGGATGGATGGATGGATGGATGGATGGATGGATGGATGGATGGATGGATGGATGGATGGATATGGCTGTACTCTTTAGATAAGGTGGTGGCTGGTGCCACCAAGCCGTAATACCTAATGAACCAAAAACTAGATTTATTTTTTTTCTTTAAAAAGTGAGTTTGAGGATTCGTACTTTGCAGTGAAGATTTTAAATTTCACTCGTGCTTTGACTTTAGGCACCAATCAGATAACCTCCTTCTAGTAAAGTCTACCCGCTTAAAGTCTCTTTTGCCTTCCCGGTCCCTAAACCCAACTGCTTTGAAAAACTCTGCGCCATCATCCTGAACTATAGGGTGAAGCCCTTTACAGAACATTATCAAGTGCTCGGCAGTTTCTTCTTCCTCTCCACACGCACTGCATACTGTGTCTACCCCTTCGTATTTGGCCCGATATGTCTTGGTTCGCAGTACTCCCGTCCTGGCCTCAAACAGTAGAGAACTACCCCGAGTATTATCATAGATCCTTTCCTTGGCAATTTCCTGCTTAAAAGTTCGATAGATCTCTAGTGCGGACTTCTTAATCATGCTCATTCTCCGCATGTCAGTCTCCGTTTCCTTCACTTTCTTCTTAACCGATAGTTCTTTTTGGTTTGGCCCTTTGCTGCTTTCTAAGTATTTACCAGTCAATTTTCTGGTTCGCTTCCTCCATTTTGTATCGACATTTTTCATGTACAAGTAGCTGAATACCTTCCTAGCCCAACGCTGCTCCCCATTTCTCTCAATTGCTTCTCAAGTTTTATCTTGCTGCTAGCTTCCCTGCCTTCAAATGATGTCAATCCCACATAACCTTGTACTCCCTGATTTGGCGTATTCCCGTGGGCTCCCAAGGCAACACTACCTATTCCACCTTGCTTAATTTCTAATCTTGCTTGAACTTCTGATCTGATGCACAAGACCACATTGCCGAACGTCAGACCAGGAACCATGACCCCTTTCCATATTTCTCTCACAACGTCATACCTATTGTAAGTCCACAGTGCCCTGTTTTTCACCACTGCTGCATATTTATGTTACCTTTAATCGTCACATATATTTCGTGTTCCCTTAGGTACTTGGTCCCATTGCTGATCCATACGCCCAGATATTTGTATTTATCTGTTATCTCTAGCGTGACCTCCTGTATTCTAAGCTCACTACCTTTATTATCATTAAAAATCATGACTGCTTAGCTTTCCTTACTTAATCTGAAATCTAACCTATTTGCCTCATTACCGCAGATGTCCATCAATCTCTGCAAATCTTCCTAGTTGTGGGGCCATTAGCACTATATCATCTGCAGCGTACATCAATGCTGGTAGTGCCTGTTCAATGAGTTTTCCTTGTTTGAGGAAAGAGAGGTTGAAGCCAAGTCCACTTCTCTCTAAGTTGGCCTCTAATCCTTGTACGTACGTCATGAATAACAAGGGGGACAGAAGACACCCCTGCCTAAGCTCCCGTTTTACCTCTGCGGGCTTGGATACCTGTTTTTCCACTTTATAACTACCTTGTTACCTTTATAGGTATCCTTTAAAAGATTTGTGACTCCATCTTCCACATCTAGTGTGTACAGTAATCCCCACAAGTCCTCTTGAACCACGCTATCATACGCTCCCTTGATATCCAAAAGTGCTAGCCACAGGGGCCTGTGTTCCTTTTCTGCTATTTCGATGCACTGTGTCAGTGAGAACAGATTCTCTTCCAACCTCTTGTCTTTCCGAAACCCATTCTGCAGTTCTCCCAGCACACCCTCATCCTCTATCTATGCCTGCAGTCTTTCCTTTTTAATCTGCATCGCCAGCCTGTAGACCACTGATGTCACTGTTATAGGACTGTAGTTGTTTATGTCAGCTTTGTCCCCCTTTCCTTTATAGATCATGCTCATCCTGCCAAGTTTCCATCCATCGGGGAATTCAGCATCGATTATTGTTTCGCTCACTGCCTATATCAAAGTCTGCTGAGACTTCGAACCCAACGTCTTTATCAGCATAATTGGAATGCCATCTGGGCCTGTTGATGTACTACTAGGAACCCTCTTCTTAGCCCTTTCCCACTCTCGTAGTGAAAATGGAGTCATTGCGCCATTTGATTCATTCTTGTCTATTGTGGTGCATAAGGCACTTCTTTTTTGAAATTTTTCTGTCACCCTTGTTTTTACATAATCAATAGCTTCGTCCCCTTCTAGCCTAGCACCTTGAGCTGTAGTTATAAACCTCTGCGCTAGGCTCGTCTCATTTCTTAGGGAGTTAAGATGGTTCCAACATTTCGCAGCTGCCTTTCTATCCTTTTTATGTACTTCTGCCAGCCACTGGGCCCCATTTCTTCTAATCTTTTCATTGATCAAAAGGCATGCTTCCCTTCTACAGCTTAGAAAGATTTCCCATTTTCTTTAAACCTCATCTGTAGGTTCACCCCGCCGCTTAGCATGTCTTTGTTCCCTAGAGGCTTCCTGACGTTTTGCTATGGCTCTCTTAACTTTCTCATCCCACCAAATTTCGGGTTTGTGTCTTCTTTTCCGGGGTGACTTGTTACGCGTCTTAGCAAGCTCTAGCTCAAAGAGTCTAATTAGATTCGTGTATGTCCACACTGTCTTATTATCCTCCGTGATTACTTTCTCAATTTGTTCAGTGGCTATTTCAATTTGCCTTTCTGAATAAAAATTTTCCTGTAGTTGCTCATCTTGTCTCCTTCCACTTCCACTGCTCTTCCAAAACTTAGCTTGATACGTTTGTGATCACTACCCAGACTTCTGGAGCCACCTTCATCTATGTGCATTCCCCTGAGCCTATCATACATACTATGTGACATCAGTGCGTAATCTATCGTCGACTAGAGCCTTCCTACCTGCCATGTTATTTGCCCTTCACACTTCTCGGTACTGTTGCAAATGATCAAATCAAGCCTTTCACACATATCCATGATCATTTTGCCTGTCGGGTCGGTATACCCATCTATATCTTCTATGTGCGCATTCATGTCTCCTAGTATAATTATATCGCACTCTCCTCCTAATTCCTCAATGTCCTTTAATATACACTCTATCATTGCCTGGTTTTCCTCTCTGGCCTTTGCTCCCGTCCACAAGTACACCAAACCAAGGAGTGTCATTTGACCTGCCACTTTCCCTTTTAGCCATAAATGTTCCTTGCACTCCTGCATGACCCTTTGCAGTCTGTACTTTTATGAATGAATGTCCCAATACCACTCCCCTTTTTGCTGCCTGCTGTTCTATTACAATATTCCCACGCGTAGTCCGGATCGTTAGGAGGTTGTTCCATGTCCCTAAGATGTGTTTCTATTCTACAAAACCCTATACCATCGGCCTCTCCTCCTTTAGCCTTTAGTTCTGCTATCTCT